ACTGTATACTGTATTTGAATCAAAACTAACTTGACAACCTGACCTAACTTGTATTTACAGACAGTAAAATACAAAAAAGTTTAACAATAAGATACAGTATTACAGCACGTGTAAAATGAAACCTCTTTTACCTGGCCATAGGTTGGCCGCATACAAACAACTTAACTTCACTTCAATACTGTAAACTTGTTAACTAGCCTACACACACAAACATGAAAATTATGTTGAAATTTTACTAACCTTAAAACATAGTGCAGTCCATCAAATAGGCCTCGAGACTGTACATTACGTACAGTATAGTACTATTGGGCACTTCAAGGCATAGAAGCTGCCCGTGGTGCAGTGGTAGCTCGCACCCCAACACACCTTACGAACAATTTCGGCCCAGCATCGGCCCCTGGGTAGGGAGGGATGATTGGGCATCAATTCTTAACTGACTGCCCCTGTTTACCCAACAGTAAATGGGGACTTGATTGCAAACTGGATGGCGGATCATGTTCCAGGGAAAACGTATAGGGTATAGCTTAAGAAGTGAGGTTTAAGGTAGAACCCAAAGCCTGCTAACATGAGTCAAAAGCTATCTGCTCCTGTACCTCCAGTATATATACTATATGTACAATGTGTGTGCATGTGTGTATACACATTACCTCTTTTCTAAACTGATTTATTCATGTCAACATCCTGATGGAGCTTATTACAACGTTTGGCAACTAAACATGCTGACCAGACCACACACTAGAAGGTGAAGGAACGACGACGTTTCGGTCCGTCCTGGATCATTCTCAAGCTGATTGTGAGATTCACCTTCTAGTGTGTGGTCTGGTCAACATACTTCAGCCACGTTATTGTGACTCATCGCCAACTAAACATGTTTCACTCATATGGTTTACCACCATAACTCACACTCCTGCTAATAAACTCTAAAATCTACTTTTTTTTGTTCTTTAGATGCATTGCCAGCACCATAATCTTCTGCCAGGTTCCCCATTCCCCAACCTTGATCTCTGTAGCATGAAGCTCATTACAATCTTCGTTTCCTGTTCAATACTAAGTACAACATGCATCTCCTTGCTAGTACAAGTGCTTCCTGAAGTATTTGCCAAACTATTATTTTCACAGCAAAAAACAAAACAAAATCTAAATTCACTAGGCAGGGAATTAAAACACACAGATTCAGGAAAATGAGGCAACCATGAAACCAAATGTAATCCACAAATAGATTACAATCCACCAGAAATCAATCAAAATCAATCCAATCAAAATGTAATCCACCAAATGTAATCCTTAAATAGATTACTTGTACCTATCCAACTGCACTTGCATTGAATACATTAATTCAAAGATTTGTATAATACAAGCTAGGATAAATAGGTTTCACTGTACTGTATGGTATATTACAAAACTTATTTTAGTTTCATTAAATATTCATGCTAATTTTAGTCCATTTCCATACCTTTCCTTATAAGCCTCTGCAGGATAATTTACAGTGAAACACAGACATTCCACAAGCAGATAATTAATAATAATTATTAACTGAAACAAGTATTCTGTAATTTGCATAAATATAGGTATTACAGTAGTCCATCCAGAGCATGGTCTCTGCACTCAGCATGGGGTTATCTTCTAAATGTTTTAAAAGATGTATATTTTTGGTTCCTATCATTTTTATAACTTAGCTACATCCTTGGGGGTGTTCCAAACTTATTTTGTCTCTGATATAATTTGATAAGCATATTAAACAGTCAAAATCATTAGTCGACACGCATGTATGGCTCAATTTTCAATTGGCATTCCATCAACTGGAAGCCATGACATCAGTATATCATCACACCAGTGAAACTGCAGACACCATACTCATGTCTGCCTGTTATAGTTATCATGGACTGCAGAAGCCCGAAAAGCATTGAACTGAATCACTCTTAGTATGGTTAGAATATTTTCACTTTAACAACTTTAAATCTATAAATCACAAGTCAAAGCTAAAAAGTCAACTGTATCCAATCACTGAAGCATAAAAAAAACACATAGCACCAGTACCAGTGGATAGAAAGACACTCTAAAACTCGGGAACTTCTCGAATATACTCCAATAATATATTGAAACATAAATGGTAAATAATACAATTGTTTTTAATTTTAGAACTTTTTTGGGGTAAATACTGTAAATAATTCTGTGCATGCTTTCAGCAATAGTTATACTGTACTGGCTTTGTACATTTTTCTGGTATGTATCAACTTTTCCTGTGCATACTGTACTTCAACAATCATATTTTTATTACAATATTTATGGAGTTATACTCAATTATATTTATTCTCTTAGGTTCAGGTGGATGTACAGTCCTTAAACTGAAGGATGACATAGGTAGACACCTACAGAATAAGAGCACACTATGGGTAATAAGCAATATGACAACCGACACCGCAATCGGCTGATTACTCTCCAGCCACCACAACCAAGCACGTGTTCGGTACTGTATATACTGTATCTGCAAACCAATTAAAATGCTACCAATGCATGCCAAACACACCATGCTGCTTTGCACATTCATAATAAATCTTTAAGGTCAGTAGTTAGCAAGGAATGAGTCACCAAACATGAACTGGGTACAGTAGGATATTACAGGAGTGCTGCCTAATAGTATAAAACAAAAGAAGGCATAATAGATCATAATATACACAGCTATACTGGCAAAATTCCTTCAAGAAGAACATGAGTAGTCAAGAGTCACCACAGCAGATCTCTTGACCCATCTAGAGATCTAACCCATCTTAAAAAATAAGTCTTCCTTATTAAGACCACTCAATAGCTCAGTTGATAGAGCTTCGGCCTCACATGTCCATGGTTCGAGTCTCCTCGAGACCAGGTGAATGGAATAACCCATCTTCCTTGTATGTATGTATGTATATATATGTATATATATATATATATATATATATATATATATATATATATATATATATATATATATATATATATATATATATATATATATATGTATACATATATATATATGTATACATATATATATATGTATATATATATATATATATATATATATATATATATATATATATATATATATATATATATATATATATATATATATATATATATATATATATATATATATATATATATATATATATATATATATATATATATATATATATATATATATATCAAGCCTATTTTAAAAGATAGCTATACTTCTGTATTTGCCTTCATCATGTTGCTAACATATTCCACTCATCCACCACCCTATTACCAAACATCCACATCCCCATAGCCTTCCTGAAATTATACTTCAGCACTGGTATGAGTTTCAAATCCTTGCTCATATCTCCCCTGTTGATAACCCTCATCCACTTTAAAAGTTATAGCATCCCTTCCCTTCCCTTGTTCTACACCCCTGCAGGTCTTTCATCAACAGGAAATACAATGCTTTCTTAATCTCGCCAATGTAGGATTCAGTCTGGTGCAGTCTACACTGAATTTTCTCAAGGAAATCGATGTCCACTCTCAAGGAAATCGATGTAATACAGCGACCAGAATCAGACAGCAAAATCTAAGTGGAGCCTCACCAGGCTCAAATATAATTGAAGGACAATGATGGTGAATTTTTATTGCTGGCACTTTGGGACATAAATCCAAGCATTCTCTATTTGCTTTGTTACAGTCACTGATATACTGCTGCCACAATCCAAAGTCTCAAAACTCAATTAGCCAAAATCTGCATCATTCATCCAGTAGCTAGTGCCACTGTCATTTCTCAAGTTCAGGACTTACCACTTATCTGTGTTAAGTTGATGAATACCAGTAACTTTACCCTATCTTCTTACTTTTCAAGTAAGGGACTTTAAAATTGTTGTATACAACAACATTTAAAAACAAGTTGTATACCAGTTGTATACATCAACATCATGGCACAGAATTCAACATGGCACCTATATATGTAATTTAAGTTTAGGAAATTTGGAAATGTTAATTGCATTACAGTGTTACTTTTTTATATGGTGAAATTAGCAGCCAGTAATACTCAGTCCATTTTGTAAATTTAGCAAAGAAAATACTAAATCATTCAAGATAATTTATATAGCCTAATAAACTATTATTTTTCAAAATGGATGTACTCTATCACACTGCACATGCATAAGCTTCACAGCACTGAATTCAAAATAATGTCCAAGGGGTGTATATAGACCCTTCTGCATTGAATAAATCCACAATGGCCGTGACGAGGATTCAAACCTGCATCCGAGAGCATTCCAGACGCTGCCTTAATCGACTGAGCTAAGACATGGTCAAAAAAAAAAAAAAGAGTTGAAAAATGCAGATACTCCTTCTGCATTGTTTTTGGGAAAATGCACAATATGAGGTTAGGTTAGGATTGGGTTTTTTTTTTTAGTTAGGTTAATTATATTAGACTGTTAGTTTTTGTGCAGCACATGTACTCTGAAAATAGTTGTCAGTGCAATAAAAGCAGTGATATAAAATTATATAAATAGAAAAGTGTAAATGTTTGCTAATCAATATTTTTAGTACCAAATGCTAGATTCACCGACAGTATAGCACTTAAGCATGATAGATATTTTTGGATGCTTTTTTTCAGTCGTACAGGAACCTGTACTGAATTTAGTACCTTTCAAGACATCACATATCTATCAAACATAGCTGTTAGAGACAAATTAAACATCATTGGGCTTCTGTGCCTTTTTTAGTTTGAATTAACATTAGAAAAAGTCACTATGCCACCCAACATTACCCAAACAGTGAGAGTGAACCATGCAGTACTATAAAAAAAAAAAGAAAAAAAGGGATAGGTTCATTAAAAAAAAAAAAGATTAATGAACCTATCACTGGCAAAAAAAATATAAAAAAAATCTGTATGAGGACTTATGTGATCTTAACACCTAATGTTACATTCACCACAATCTTTCTTTTGTTATTTTAGGGCTAATGCGAGCTATGTTAGGCAAGGTGGTTAAGTAGGCCAGGCCTAGGTAGTTTATATTTCCTGTAGTAAACAAAACCTGGGGACTGGCAAACAAGGAGATAATAAATATTATAGAGTACACAATTTTTTAGGCACTTTTGGGGACGGGGCCAAACGAGCTAATTAAAATGCTATTGTCAACCCTCCAAATAGTATAATACCCCAAAGGGACTGCATCCAAATACCATAGGCTGTGAATCTATGAAACAATGATACTTTCACAGATTAGAGGATATAACCAAACATGAAATTAAGCTAGCTGACCTTGTCGTGTTCCGGCAGTCTTATACTCTATAATCCAAGCCAGCGAGTGTCTTCCAGCTTTTTAGTGCCACAGGAAAGCAGGCAGCCACTTAACTTACCTACTATCATCCAGTGGTGACTGGTAAACACCTAACCGGAGGAAACACAGCACCCCAAAAAAATTCTTTGGGCGAGACCTGGCACAATACCCCAACTCTGTTGTCCGGGTTTGTTTACCAGCGGGTGACAGGCGCGCGCCCCGCCGCCTGCCGGACGTCCCCTCAACTACACACACTCCCGCCAAATTTAAATTTTTCAAGCAGGTCGGCGTTCAATCCCCGACCGTCCAAGTGGTTGGACATCATTCCTTCCCTTACCGTCCAATTTTAAATCCTTATCCTGACGATTGACGAAGATTGATGAAGATTAAGCCACCCAAAAGGTGGCACGGGCATGAATAGCCCGTAGGTAGTGGCCCTTTTGAGCCATTACCAGTATCAATAGATGATACAGGAGATCTGTGGAGGTGCAACTGCACCCTGCGTGACGAAAGATGTCTCCCGGACCAAGTGGTGTATATCCTGACCTCCTTCCCAGTGCTATATAGTCGTAATGGCTAATTCCTTCCCCTTGATAACTCCTTCCCTTCCCGCCAAATTTAAATTTCCTGAGTTTACCTGAGAGTCACTAACATTGATTTACTTTGTGACGGGTTGTGGTATCGCAGCTATACTGAACCAAGATGGTATGGCTCTCCCTCACACAAATAAAAAAAAAAATGCTGCTATTGGCCTTGCAGTGTGTCGGTCAAACAAATGAAAATCATCAAATAAATCATTAAAACAATTTACTTGATGTGACGACTTATATTGAATTTTGTAACTAGCTCATCAAGATTGTAATTTGCTTAGCTAAATGAATTGTGGGGTTCAGTCCCTGAGCCCATTATGTGCCTCTGTAACCCTTTCCACTATACCGCCCACAAGATGGGTATGGGGTGCATAATAAATGAACTAAACTAAAAAAACTGTAATATTAATGAACAAAAAGACATGACAATACTTGGCTATTATTATATAGCGAATCAAATAAGTAAATGAAAGTTTAACTCTAATACAAAGCAAAAAGATATACTGGTGTACTGAAGACAGCTACCATACCACCATGGCATCAGTCACATGGCGTTGGCTGAAGGCCGACGACGGGTGAGAGAAACTACGGTGATCCTAGAGCACTAAGGGAGAGACTGGCTCTCCAGGGCTGTTGTTATTTAAGATTCAGCTACTCGGAACAAGTTCCAAGTAGCACGGGCTATGGTGAGCCCGTAACTTACCTGGCACAGGAGCGGGGCAAGTAGCACGGGCTATGGTGAGCCCGTAGTAGACTTACCTGGCACAGGAGCGGGGCAAGTAGCACGGGCTATGGTGAGCCCGTAGTGGACTTACCTGGCACAGGAGCGGGGCAAGTAGCACGGGCTATGGTGAGCCCGTAGTGGACTTACCTGGCACAAGAGTGGTGCTGTGGCTCTCCAGTTGTTGTTTGTTGTTTTAGATTTAGCTACTCAGAACAAAAGTTCCAAGTAGCACGGGCTATGGTGAGCCCGTAGTGGACTTACCTGGCACAGGAGCGAGGCTATGTATGTGGGTTCTCCAGGGAGGCGGCGCAATTTATAGTCCGGCGGTGATGACTCCTCCGGTGTCAACGCAAGGTGGACACCTGGTCAACTAGCACACTGCTCGTTGTGGCAGGTGGTGCCTTTGTGTTGAGCTGCACCACTGCCAGTTGAAGGCGGCAGTGGTGAATCCCACTGCTATGCAGGGGATTCACGTGACAGCTCCTCCCCGAAGCCTTTTCCTAATGCCTGAGATGTCGATGCTGGAAGGAGTGTGGAAGCGGAAGGTTCCACGCATAACATTTCGGGCAGATCCTTAATCTAACATATTAGGCAAGATGAAAAGGTACATTGTAGCAAGGTTTTACATAAAAAATATTTAAAATATATGTTAGCAGAGTTGATTACATTGATAATGATATATGTCTTAAGTACTAATATTTGGGAAGTGGCTAGTACAAGATACAGTGTGAGTTTCAATACTTCTCATAATCTTTTTTTATAGATTAAAGTATACACTTAGTAAGCCATGAATTGTTAATCCTTTTGAGTTGAGTAGTTTAGTTTAGTTCATGTATTATTTTATTATGCACCACATACCCATTTCGTGTGCGCTAGTGAAAAGGGTTACAGAGGCACATTTGAGTATGTGAGTACTTTTTTTACTTTGACATGTTTTCCTGAGGGCAAATGGAGGTTAGGGGGAGGGGGAGACCTGTGACAAGCCTCCGGCTTCCTGTCCTCGCCGAGGCCACTAGTGTTTAGTGTCATCTATTGAGGAGAGGGAGAGGTAGAGGGTGCGGGGGTTGCCGGTGGTTGCTGGGGCGGTGATGGCCACCTTCCTGTCTGGTCTTCGCCAGTTGCCACAGTGTCACAACACCGTGCCATGTGTATCCTCCCCGGCACCTCCACCACTGGTTAACGAGCCCCAACCACAACTAGGTGTATGGTAGGCAGTAATTAGGGCGACCCGGTGCGAGACGGCGGCCAGTGGACACGGGAGAAGCTCCGGAATTCTTTACAATTGCTAAATTGTGGCGGCAGCTGGTGAGGCTCCATGCTGCACTTGAGGGCTATATTCTTTTTCCCCCCGGCTTTGGGACGGGCTTTTTGATAATTATATCCTTCCATTGCAGTTAAAATGTTCCATTTTCCATCACCACTTTCGTAGTTCTAAAGGCATGTACCCACTCTGTACCCTCTCTTGCATATTTGGTGGTGTAATTAATACCTTTGTAACAGCCTCGACCCCATGCCCATATTACCCCATAATACCCCATATTACTCTACCCCATTGGCTATATTATTGTATATCTGTTACTAATCTTACTAGTGTTTCATTGTTCATTTCTATAGCCATGTTATAGGGCACAGAATCATTGAAGAAGCATCTATTAAGTTATTGCTATGTCTTTACGGTACAGTGATTTTTGTTCTTTGTCTAAGTGTTAAGCATTATTGAAATTGGACAACTTGGCCTTTGCTGTTGGTTATTTTATATAAAATGCTTCTTTGCATATCTGTAGTAAACATTTCTATTGTCATATTAAGATGGAGAGCATTTCACGTCATTCATGACTATACAGCATTTGATAAGACTTTTCAAGTCGCTAGAAGAATACACAGTATCATCAACCATTTTATAATGTTCATGTTCCAATTTGTATAAGATTAGTACATTATATGATATTATGATGATATATTTATAGTTTTTGTTTACTATATACCGCGTAACGTGGAGGTGGAGTCCCTCGATTGTTTCAAGCGAGGGTTGGACATGCATATGAGTGGGATTGGGTGGTTATAAATAGGAGCTGCCTCGTATGGGCCAATGGGCCTTCTGCAGTTACCTATGTTCTTATACCACAAGTCTGTTACCTAATAAACATTATGCTTATGACAGAGGATGCCAATCACCAGGGCGGAGGAGGAGGCATTAAATGATCACTTTTTGGTCAACAGCTACATAGAAGGATTTGCAGCAAGCCAGACTGACACACTGTTATTTGAGCAGTTTAAATCCACCCCCAGCCAAGACTTCCATAACCTTCGTCGCTGGTATAGACATATAGACAGTTTTGGCAGTGATAGGGGGAAGTTTCCTGGCACTAAAAGCAGCTGTTTAACTCTATCGGTGAATGGGACAAAGGTTAGTTTGAATTCAACCATTTGGAAATTTAACATCTCTTTTTGTATATTTATTCACTCCCTTCTTAAGCATATATATTTAGTTTTTGCTATTAGCAAGAGCAACATTTTTCATGCATGCAAAATCTTGTTCAAGTTATTGTGTTTCCATAAAGACCATTAAATACAATTTTTACACAAATCATTACCTAATTTTGCATTAAATATTGCACTAAAATTAATATTGCGAAATAAGTTATTAATAAACATTAATGCCTTAAATACTATACTCCAGTTTCTATGGTTAGTTTTAGTCCAAAATTCTTTAAGTTGACAGTTCCTTGAGTAACTTTAAGGTTTACTACAATTTTGGTAAACTTACTACGTACTTTGTGATACTGGAGTCACATATTTAGTGCAGCTGATTTTTTACAGCTTACATATGTGGTAGATTGATAATGTTCCACAGAATGTCAGGCAATACGCATACAGTACAACAAAAGAGCATTTGCTCGTAACCTTATGCGCCTAACCTAAATAGTACTTAATCCTACAAAATACCTTAATCCTAACAATTAGGTTTGTTAAATGGTCTGTATGCATACTCGAGCACTAAAAGTCTTCAAGATTTTTACTATTGTTCTCCAGGTGAAAGTAATGATGAATTGCAACAGTGAGCAGGTTGATGGTCCTGAAGGGACGGAGCAGGATCAGCAGGAACACACTACTGAAGATATTGTTGATCCCTGGAATGTACAAGCTTCTAGCAATAAAGGCATCGACTATGATAAGCTGATAGGTAAGGAATTTTGCTCGGATGGTTTGTAAACGTACTTTGTCGATTTGTTTACATTTTGAATATTATTCATTTTTTAATCTATTGTATAACACCTTTCAGGTGAACCGAGTAATAAATTAACTTTGTAATGTTAGCCATTACTCGGACTTCACTACTTAGTGATAGTGTGTTTTTAGACAGATTTGGATCGTCTCGTATTGATGATGCACTGTTGGAGAGATTTGAGAAGCTGACTGGACAAAAGCCTCATCATTTCCTGAGACGTGGTATATTCTTCTCACACCGGGACATGCACAGGTTAGGATATTATACTTTGGATCAAAGACAAATAACATTGTGGCTATATTGTAAAAACGAATCCAGGCTTTGAATTAATGACTTCTGTCTGATTGTTACCGGTTTTAGCTTGCTTTACCCTCACTAACAAGGGGGTATCAGAGTTGATCTCTGATGCCCATATGTACAAGCTCATATGTATGGGGAGAACTATTGATAAATTGCTTGACATTATTGTACCGAGATTGTCACCTGGGACATGGTATGGTCATAGTATCTAGAGTGCAAGTGACAAGTCAAGTTGAGCTACTAACGTGTAATTCAGAAGTACATTTTTCCCAAGTAGTCCAAGGGAAAAGCGTATTATATTGCTTATATTTTTAGAGGTACTTTATATTGTTGCATATTCTTTCATCTTTCTCTTTTTCAGGATATTAAATCTGTATGAAGCTGGCAAGACATTCTTCATTTATACTGGTCGGGGTCCATCCTCAGAGTCCATGCATGTTGGTCACCTCATCCCCTTTATTATGACAAAGTAAGTGGCGAATCAATGTTTTTGTTTGAAATGTGTGTACCAGTAGGAACGGAAATATTAAATGGAAGATTTTACCGATTTGTTGCTTGAGGAATTTTGCTCAAAATTTTAGGCCATGAGCAACCCGGAAAAAAAAATATTTTGAGAGGGCCTACATTCACTATAATATACTGTATACAGTATATACAGGTTTGTTACCCAACTTACCAGATTATTGTAATAAGATCTTTGAAGCACTTTTAGTTAAGTAAAAATTCATCATAAATCACCTTCCTCCAACATTGAATTGAAACACAAGCATCTGAAAATTCATTATGCAATCCTCATTTTGGCTTACATGCAATATTGGTCCCAAAAATGTAAATTGATTATCAAGAACTTTCTCGGCAGTTAATGATGGAGGAAGGTGGTGAAGCGAGCAGGCCCGAATACCTCCCCAAAATAACACCACTGCTATGGCAGCTGTGTCTAAGGCCTACTCCTGTGACATATAAATTTTTCTGGTCCATGGAAGGGAATTATCTGGAGAAAGTTCCAAGCTAGTATGACTGTTTAGCACTGGGAGCTAGTGGAAATATTTATAATTTTTTTCTTTCCATCTTCAGTACCACGGTTGTTGTGTTCAAGTATATTTGAAGAGTTCCTGGTAATTTTGAGGTTTCGTTCTTTCCATAGCTGTAGGTGCTTTGTTTTTCATGAAGATAGCCACATGGTGGTGGCTGGCTGGATATGGGCGACATTACTTTTGTCATAATGTGTTAGTGCTGTCTTTGTCTTGTGTGCTATGTTAATATATTTAAGGCATATCATTCTGATGATTTCAGGTGGCTCCAGGATGTATTTGATATTCCATTGGTAATTCAACTCACTGATGATGAAAAATACCTGTGGAAGGATCTGAAATTGGAAGTTTGTAATAAGCTGGCCTATGAGAATACAAAGGACATCATTGCTATTGGATTTGACATGAGCAAAACATTTATATTTTCTGATGTTGACTTCATTGGTGGAGAGTTTTATAAGTAAGTACTGTACTAAAGTTTAATATAATTTCAGATGTTAACCATTTATAGTTTTATAAGAAAATTGATTAGGTACAAAACACGAAGTTATCAGTTTTATGTTGTAAGTGTTATTATTTATGCTTTTTGCTTAAGCTGTAAGAATAAATGAAGTATAGTAATTATTGTGCTGGCCTCCACTATGGAACAGGTGACTCGTGGGAATAGCTTATTCATTTGCTACTTCTCTATATAATATCTTGTCAGACAAAATCGACCAATAAGTATTAATGTTGAGACGATGAGTTGCAATACTGTGGATATATTTGGAGTATCTGGTGTTAAAAGGGAGTGTGCTTAATTTTAAAGAAATATCCTATTGGTAGCGTGACTTTCTGAAATCATTCTGGCATAAGTTGCAGTCACGCCACCATGGCTAGCTTTGTTTGTTCTCGTATGGTGTGTATATTTCTGTATCCCTTCGAGGGATTGCCAAGAAATAATTTCTCTGGATTAAATATACAACATTTGTTGCTAATACTCGTGAAATATGTATTACAGTATTTATTATTAACTTAAGAAAAGTTTATCTTTCTGGATGGATCGTTATTCCTTGAATTCAGAGGTAGTCAGTCTATGAACCTACTGTTTTATCATTTTTTGTAGCCCCCTGCTACCTAATATTACTTGGTGGAAGGAAAAAAGGGAGAATTGCATACTCATTTATGGCTAACCCTGGAAATTTCCCACATACTGTATAAAATGTAAATTAAAGAATAGGATTTGAATGGGGTATAATTTAATTTTTTTGGTGCTTACCTCGAGAGGTAAACTTTGGTAAAAGCCAGTGACATCAGTTACTGGGTACAGGTGCCTGTTTTTAAGGCCATAAGACCTGGCCAATCACTACATGATTTGGAAACATTTTTCTTGGGGACTTTGACAGAGGTTGCATATCCTAGATGAGGCTATCTTTAAATGAATTCAAGTGGTATTCTTATCATTGCCAAAGGGATAACAAGAGTTATTGTCAATAATAACTTGTGAACGATAACAGAACGAGTAAGTACAACTTGCTTACTCGTTCTGTTATCACATCAGTTTACCAAGTTCACATCAATATGGTTTCTAGCTGTTGTAGAATTTGTTCAGGTTCGCATTCCTCTTGACTTAATGTAACAGGAAAATGATTAATGTTTTGTTGTTTCTTTACCATCAGAAATGTATTGAAGGTTCAGAAGCATGTAACATTCAACCAGGTGAAAGGAATATTTGGGTTTGACGATTCCTCCAATATTGGGAAGATAATGTTCCCAGCTGTACAGGCTGCTCCAAGCTTTTCTTCTAGTTTTCCATTCATATTTGGGGGAAAGAAGGACATTCCTTGCCTTATTCCATGTGCTATTGATCAGGTAAGCATGAAAGTTTTAATGTCTAAACAAGATAGGAGGAAAATGAGTGAACGAGTGCAATAAATTTAGGATCAAATAATTTAGTAGAAGAGTTAAAACAGTAAATGTTATTTATTTTAAATCTTCTTATAAAGTTGATTGATAGTTGGCAAGGTTGAAATTAATTATAAAAAGTGAACATACTCTTTGGTATTTGTTGGGTTAAGAAAATGTAAATATTAGTGTTAAGGTAAGATTATATAAAGGCTTGCTAAGGAAAGGTCATAATGTGTATAGCTTGATATTATCCCCAGGAAATGAAGATCATGCAAATTAAATGTTCTGTTTGCATGTGGTTAATTTGAGTAGAAATTTATTGATCTTAAAAGTAATTAGTAATGCACATGCAGAAACATATGTAAGCAGAGCACATCATATACCAACTCGCCTTCCTGTTTAGATAGTACTTTTTGTAACTATGTGGAGCATTGTACATATAGTAACGTAATGGACAATTAGATAGTAGAATTTGGTGCTATTCACTTTATAAAGAGTGGAAAAAATAAAGCTTAAAACCAAACATAAAATATTTTTAGGTATAGTATAACACATATATATACTAAATTAGGACTCGGATAGCATGTATTAGGCATAGAATGGTTAGGTTAGGTTGTTTTATTAGCCACATAAATACAAAACTTTTTCCAGTTTGTCCAAATTCAGTACTGAGAAATTCTTCCTTTTTTATTGTCCATTACATCAATACATGTATGATGGTCCACATTGTTACTACAAGTACCGTCTTAACAGAAGAATGAGCTGTCTATACACGTACTGCATACTAGTACTTTTTCAGGACCCATACTTCCGGATGACTAGAGATGTGGCGCCGAGGTTAGGGTTCCAGAAGCCGGCACTCATTCACTCGACCTTCTTCCCAGCACTGCAGGGTGCCAGCAGCAAGATGAGTGCCTCGGATGAAAATTCCTCCATTTTTCTAACAGATACCGGCAATCAGATTAAGAAAAAGGTTATTATCATGGTGCATGTCTGAATCGTAACACGTTTTAGGCTATATATGCTGAACTGAAACATAATTCAACACCCTACTGCATGTTTTTAATTTGCATGAAAATATATGACCATTCTTATCCATGGTTGAGATATGTTACCCTAAAAGGTGTGGTCATTGTCACATTATCAGTTTTTACTTTGCTACTTTATACAGTAAAAAAAGAAAGTTGCCTGGATTATTGTGTGGGGCTGCCTGCAAATGCTAGACAGTTGCAGTGGGTCTTGTTTTCTCTCGAGATGGTTTCAGGAGCTCTTCTTTGGCCTTTCAGATTTGTTTTTGTTGTCACTTTGATTTCTATCCTGCTGGCCATTTTGTTTTGCTTCCCTTATACTTTCTGGGTAGTTTTATTTGGTTGAGATTCATCATAGATCTCTATACTTGTCTCACTTCTGACCACACAAGATTCTGGCTTAGAGGCCTGGTGGTAGTTTTGTGGCTATGGGGTACCAAAGCACTGGAAAGCCACTCACTCCTGGGAGGGCAATTATTAAAAGAAATCTATAAACAAAAATTGGCAAACCTGGGGCGAATCTGGAACAATGTGATGTGGATTTTGGAGGGTGGAATGTACCTACTTGATGAGATTTTGGGAACTCTTCTACTCCCCAAACCTGGCTTGAGGCCAGGTTTGCCTTGTGAGAGCTTGGTCCACTAGGCTGTTGCTTGGAACAGCCCACATATCAACCAAGTATCTACAGTATATTATTATTTTGGGGCTATGAAGTATTGTGATATACGAATTTTTATTTGTGCACTATTTGATATTGTATAATTTCTTTGGCAGATTAATAAATATGCTTTCTCTGGGGGTAAAGACACTTTAGAGGAGCACCGAGAGAAGGGTGGAGACTGTGAGGTGGATATTTCCTATATGTACCTTAAATTCTTCTTAGAAGATGATGACAAACTAGAGAAGATTCGCCAAGAGTATTCCTCGGGCAGAATGCTCACTGGAGAGCTGAAAGCAGAGTTGATTCAGGTATGTACTCGATACATTTTATATTTATCAACATTTAGTGTTGGTAAACCTTATGTAATTCTTATATTGTATGTATTTGATTTTAGGGCTGCATTATTTAGCCTTAGTGTTTACGTAATTAATATAATTTTTGTAAAGGTTTTAACATTCTTTAATAGGTATCGGTAGATAGTAATATTTTGAGTTTTAAACAACAATTTATAGTCGGAAAAGTTAGGTACATAGCTGCATGGTTACAATATACCTATTAATTGTAATCTGTATTATGCAGGGTTACAGGCTATTTTAATAAATTAAAGTATTATAGTTTGAAGTCTAGTGAAAATAAGATGACATTAACAAGTAATAAATAAATAAATACCTAATTTGCTGAGATAGCTACACAATAATGGTGAATATTTAAGTTACTGGAACTTTAATACAGTTGTTCAGGATGATGTGTGTTGATTTTGCCTTTTTTTTTTTTTTTTATATAAATATGGTGATATTTTTGCTGAATGGACAAATAATTACCGGTACATTGAATTAGCTTGTAGAACTTTTGTGTGCTCGACCTATCCTATAAAAATTATACCAACTATGTGGTTGAACATATAAAAATGGACTATTGTAGCCAATGAAGTTCACATTATGTACTATTAATTTGTAAAAGGTCCCCTCCCCCCCCCCCCCCCAAAAAAAAAAAAAAAAAACTTTGCTGGGCCACTTACAGCATGTTAAACTGGGCCTTAGATTGCGTATAGTGTAAGGGCCTAAGATTGCTTATTCAGGCTGTGGAGAGGTTAGGTAAGGTTCTTTAAGTATTATTATTATTATTATTTTTTTATGCATGCCATTTGGGGGTAATTGACTAGTACAAAACTTCACACTTTTTGGGTACAACAGTCTATGGTTTATAAGTTTGATCAAATTGTTGCTATAATTACTCTAATTTTTGGAGGACGAGCAGGAATATTATATATTTATCAAAGTACATTGGCCTAGGGTCAACATATGATGATCGACCTTTAAGGGTTAAAAGGCAAACCCGTAAGATATGAACATGTTCGAAAATCATGCAGATTAATGGCTGTGTTTTATATAGAGTATTTGTATTTGAGTGATGTAATGTGTTCAGATACTATGTAGGAAATTTTAAATGATGTATATTGCAAATATAAAATAATCAAATCGGTTATTAAATAAATTCTACGTATTTTTACAGATTCTTCAGAAGATGATAGGAGAGCATCAGGAGCGGAGAAAAACCGTTACAGATGATATTGTGAAGCAGTATATGACCCCCCGACCTCTTAACTTTGTTGTCAAGAAATGAGGTTACTGCTGTATGTTTCAATCTTTTTACTGTTATAAATTTGGTAACCCTTTTTTTCTCTTGTATTTCTATTGCCTCGTGAGAGATTGGGTCAGTATACATGGTATTACTTTGTTAGCACACTGTGTTACAGCTAAAGCACACATGTTACAAACTGGTGTACTGAGTAAGAGAGACGTGCAGGGAATGATAGAGAACTAAACTGCATGGAGATAATGATGATGGTTAAACAATGAGAGGTTGTTGATAAATAACATTAGGATATTTTCTCATGCTTTTCTTAAGTAAAATAACAAAAAATGTATGGGATGGGGGTGTATCTGGATGGGGTTCTGGGAATTATTTTGCTCCCTAAGCTGGGACCAGGGCCAGGCTTGACTTGAGAGTTTGGTCCAACAGGCTGTTTGTAGCAGCCAGCAGGCCCACATGTCCACTACAGCCGGGTTGGTCCGGCACTTCTTGCAGAAAACTGTCAGTTTTTCTTAAACTTCCACATTTCTTATACTTGCTGGGAGGATATTGAACCACTATGGAATGTTGTTGTTCATAGTATTGTTTATGGCGCACCTACTCTTCATTGGCTCTTATTGTGCATTTCCTTTCGTATCATTCACACCAGTAAGTTATTTTACTGTGCAAAGTACAGTAGTTTTCTTTTGATAAGATTGAATCCATTATAGTTTTTAAAATTTATATTCGGTATACGTTTGTTGTACAGCACAGGGTATGGTCACAAATTCTCAGCTGTTGCCTGCAGTAGGCAGAACTGAGCCAAGTACCTATGATGGGTACCCAAGGGGAAGTGGAGGAAGAAGCCAGTTGACAAGATGGGAAAAGAGAAACATGGCCCCCCTCATGCTTGCAGAGCAATAACCTGCCAGGTATTATCCAAAACACATGTGGATAATCACAAACGCTTCCCTCTGGCATTACCACAGAAGCTTTATATCAAACCCCTTGGCCACCCACCCTATAGTGGTAGGGGGAAAAAGAAGCTTTGGGATGGAGCCAGCCACCTGAACCCAGGGAATTCAAAGTCAAACACCCTGTATCAGCTAGGAAAAGGTCATCTAGAGAAATACGACTTCTTCCTCCAAGCGCACCCACAGAGTGACAAGTGGAATGATTATTCCATGTGGAATAATTATGTGTTGTGGAATTATTGTGGAATAATTATTCCACAAGTGGAGTGGAATGATTATTGTTGCCCGGTGTTGAACCTTCTCCAAAGCAGCTGTGTCTTTCTGAAGATGAGGTTTCCATACTTAAATACAATAATCCAAGTGATGATACAGCAAAAGGAAGAGAGAGAGAGAGAGGTACCAATGGCTTTGCTGCCAGCCCTTAAGAGTGCCCTTGCCAGCTTCCTGAGGCTGTTGGTTGGCAGTACCCTGGTTGCCAGGACTACCATCTGATTATTTGGATAGAAATTTTCCGGTAGTAATGAGTGATTTGCATGAATGTAATTACATTAGAGTGGTTGCTAGTTTTGTGGCACTTTTGCTTTTGGGATGGATTTTTCTCAGTTTTTGGGCAATCTCTCGTCCCCCCCCACCGTCAGGCTGCGTCAGACCGGGCTGCGGGGACGCTAAGCCCCGGAAGCACCAAGGACCTCAAGGTAACACCCCCCCCCCCCTCCTCCTAGGCTCCTCTCGTCAAAGATGGAGACCCATTTTTGTTCTGGTCTCTGGTAGGCTTCATTGGTCTTAAAAGCCTTGTATTCCCTAAGGTTTTGTTGCTCTAAATAGCATACTCCTGTAGCATTATGGTTTGTTAAGCTTGAAGCTGTTACACCTTGTGAGTGTTACACTTTTCAAAGATGCGGTCTGCATTTATATCTTTGGATTTGCTCAGTATAGTAAAGATTTTGTCGATCAACCCTGTCATGTCTAATTTGTAGTGTTTTTAATCATTAGGCCTTAATCGTTCCTGGTTTGAAAGTTAACTTGGTTCTGGGATTATTTCTGCTGCTTTGCACTGAACTGAACTTTTCCAAAAGCAGTTATGCTCTTTTGAATGTGGTCTCCATGCTTGGATTCATTTATACAAATGAGGTTGTAAATAGAGATTTGTACAGTTAAATATCCATCCTTTTCCTTGAAGTCAAAGGTTTGAATATTCCATAGCAGTGCAATTCAGCCTTCTTGGCTTAGCACTTTTGATAATATTTTTTGGCCAAGTAATTTGATGTATTATAACTGGTAAATACAGTAAACCAAAATATATTCTGCCATTTTTGTGTGTGTAGTACTTTGTGTTTTATTAATCGGTTGGTTTTCACTTTATTTTTTACATTTTTCGTAGAAAATAATGCTAGTTTCATATCTGCCATTTCTTATTTTTGATCTAAAAATAGTGACCAAGTCTTGAATAAGATGGAAAAACGCTTTATATATAACAAAAATAACTTCTAATCTTGTAAATCAATTATAACGTTAAAAAAATTATGTATATAAGCACACTTTTGTATATACATTATAATGTATTTTTTACAGAAAATATTTTACAAGTACTGTATTAGAAATAAGCAAGAGGGTTTGAAGGAGGCGTAATTGCTAATGTTATAGTCGCTACCTCTTGTGGTGGTGATTTTGTCGCTATTAGATGGCAACATCTATAACCTGTTCAGACACCTGTTTTGTTATTCAGATGACCTGTGCAAACGTGGCAAGGTGTTTCTCGGCATTCAGACGGAAATTGCTTGTTGCATCGTCAGCCTCATTTCCTCGACCACTTTTCCTTTAGCAGCAAAAGGGTTTAAGTGTAGCTTGTGAAAATACACCTCATCTACTTGGAGAAAATATATTGTTACTAATGAAAGCCAATAAGTAAGTTAGCATCATTCAGGCATTATTTAATGCATGTCAAATATTCCATCTTTGCTTGTTCCGACAAATTCTATATGTATGCAAATGTTAATGAGCATTCTTACTATTATGCTTCGCAGTCATGATGTGTTCGTTTACAAAAATTTATCATCTGCCTAAATGATGGCCAAAAAAGAGGAAAGTCTATTATTCAGTATCATTGTACGATGTGTATACTGTATTTGTGATGCCTTGATATTATGGTGCTACATAGCCTTCCTGGTTTGGTGCCGTCTTTTGATAATTACTTGCTTGATTTCTCCAGGAATTCCCTCACGTGACGCAATGAGCATAATTTAGCGGACTTGTACAAAAATATTACCCCTTGATATGCATTTAAACTCGTGTGACAAATGTCACACGAATATTTGTTACCTAAACTACAGTGAAATGGGCAAAATTGTCTTAATCTTTGCTCTGCATGGAATATATTTGTTACAAATAAAATATTTTTGTTGTAAATGTATTGTTAAATACATTGTTTTAGACCTTTAAATGAACTCTTGAAATTCTGTCCTTATTAGTGAAGTAGTTGACAACCATTCGAGATGGATGGTCAGGTATTGTGAATAATAGGTGCAAGCTTTGTGTTCCTGACAACAGGGACCAAACCAAACTGGGAACAATTAAATATGACATGATAAGTATTATGACCAAAGCTGCTGTAGACTTTAGTGTACCATTTACAGATTCATACAGCAGTGAGCTATTGCAATTACTAGGTATGTTCCAGGAACCACCATGGCTTCTACCATAGTTTGGTCATGTTGACCAATCCACACATTAGAAAATGAAGGGACGACAACGTTTTGGTCCGTCTTGGACCATTCTCAAGTCGATTATGAATGGTCACAATCGACTTGAGAATGGTCCAGGACGGACCGAAATGTCGTCATCCCTTCATTTTCTAGTGTGTGGATTGGTCAACATACTTCAGCCATGTTATTGTGACTCAGCACCTGCATAGTTTGGTCATGTTGAATGAATGGACGATGATTAACTGAAGAGTGATTTTGAGGGTTGTATGAGAGGAACGTCAAGAAAATGGGCAAACAAAGCTATCGAGTGTGAGGAAGATTGGTGATTGGTTTTCCCCATTGTCGGGGACAGGACACTAGTAGGCTAATAAAGTCCCACCTAGGCAAACAAGCATTTCAAAGGATGCAACCCACAACAGTTGTTAAACTTCCAGGTACCTATTTACTGCTAGGTGAACAGAGGCATCAGGTAAAGAGGAAGCAGAGTATGCCCTAACATTCCTGTTCTGCCATTATAACTATGGAGTTCTCAACAGAGTCGCAAATATCAGGTGGACAACTGGATACTGGAGGAAAACAGTGCATTGAAATATTGTATTATATGCCTATTGGTTGTCAAAATATAATGCATGTGTATAGAGAGGGAGTTAGATTAATTTATGAATACTATATTGGAGATATATACATGTATGCATCATAGTCCATAATTTAATTGGATGCATTTTTGCCCTTTTCAGGTATTAACCGATGCTATCCACCTGCAAATTTAAATTGAAGGATACTGTAATTTAGTTTATACACGAAGCTTAATTTTCATTAAAGATATTAAAAATATTATTGTAAACAGTATATGAAAAATATTGTGTACAAATGTATAAAAAATGTGCATCGGGTATTTTAATTGTGTAATGATTGTAATGCTGTATAATACTGTGAATTTTATCTTATTTATGATTTACGTAGGCATTTTTATAAAATCTAAACCATCTCAAAGTATTTTATTGAACCTGGGTTAATTTGATATAATTTCCCATTTCTGCTAGAAACAAATGACACAAATTATCAGCATTCTATTGGAACAGAACAATATCCCATCGCCGTTTTCAGCAATTGGATATTGTTAGATAGGGAGCTGAGCGGACAGCACGCTGGACTTATGATCCTGTGGACCTGGGTTCGATCCCAGGCGCCGGTTAGAAACAATGGGCAGAGTTTCTTTCACCCTATGCCCCTGTTACCTAGCAGTAAAATAGGTACCTGGGTGTTAGTCAGCTGTCACGGGCTGCTTCCTGGGGGTGGAGGCCTGGTCGAGGACCGGGCCGCGGGGACACTAAAGCCCCGAAATCATCTCAAGATAACCTCAAGATAACCTGTTAAACTGCAGCGGGGTTTGGGCAAAATGTGACCCATCGCTGTTTTCACCAATTGGCATATATATATTTTCGATATAAAAAGTCGTAATTTCAAACCAACCCGTCCTCAACTCAAGTCCATTACATCCAGCGGTCGACCCCTCAGACGCATTCATAAATTTTTACATGCTGTTCATTCAAAACATGGAATTTTCTCAAATTAATATTATAATAGCATATTCTGCATATATAGGCATAGGTTAGGTTAGGTGTTTAGCTTCTGTTGGCGATTATTTGTAGTACGTGGGTGAAGCATTTACAGCGTTGTGGTTCGAACAAAATTCGTCAGTGAAGCACTTTTTCCAGAAGTGTTCGAACGAAATCAGTTGAGTCGTGTGCGGACCGTTTTTCATTAATAAACGTTCATAAACATTTATAAAATGTGACCAGTTGTACTAACATCGTACATAATAAAAGTTTTGAAAGAGTGATTAAAATCCAATTTCTAGTTTTACGGCAAATAATGAACTACACAACCCAGGATAACATGGATTTAGAGCGAGAAGATCCTGTCTGTCATGGTTACTCAACCACTATGACAAAATCACAGAAGCTTAGAAGAAAAGCAAACTGCAGATGTAGTATACACAGACTTTGCAAAGGCATTCGACAAATGTGATCATGGAATGATTGCACACAAAATGAGGTCAATGGGAATAACTGGTAAATTAGGACGCTGGATACTCAATTTCCTGTCGAACAGAATACAAAGAGTAACAGTCAATCAAATAAAATCGAGCCCAAGCACCGTATAAGCTCTGTACCTCAAGGTACAGTCCTTGCACCACTGCTTTTCCTTATTCTCATATTAGATATAGACAAAAATACAAGTCACAGCTTCGTGTCGCCCTTTGCAGATGACACTAAAATCAGCATGAAAATTACCTCTGCGGAAGACATGGAAAAATTACATGCAGATATCAACAAAGTTTTCGATTATGCAGCAGAAAATAACATGTTTAACAGTGATAAATTCCAGGTACTCAGGTACGGCAAAAATAAGGATCGGAAACATAATACAGGGTACAAAATCAAATCTGCAAATAGTAGGAAAACAGCATGTCAAGGATCTGGGAATAATGATGTCCGCGATGAACTAACGTTTAGGGATCATATCCAAGCAAATATTGCGACAGCCAGAAAAATGATACGATGGATTACGAGAACTTTCAAATCCAGGGATCCCATCACAATGGTTGTACTCTTCAAGTCACTTGTGTTGTCCCGTTTTGAGTACTGCTCCGTACTCGCTTCCCTCTTCAGAGCAGGAGAGATTGCTGAAATAGAGGGAACACAGCGAACATATACGGCACGCATAGACGCGATAAAGCACCTAAATTATTGGGATCGTCTCGAAGTTCTCCAAATGTACTCTAGAAAGGAGACGAGAGAGAGATACAAAATAATATACACATGGAAAATACTAGCGGGCCAGGTCTCAAATCTGCACAGTAAAATAACAACATACTGGAATGAACGATATGGAAGAAAATGCAGAATAGAACCAGTGAAGAGCAGAGGTGCCATAGGCACAATCAGAGAACACTATATAAACATCAAAGGTCCACGGTAGTTCAACGTCCTCCCAGCGACTATAAAAAATATTGATCCATCGCCGTTTTCATTAATTGCAATATTTTCGGTATAACAAGTCCTAATTTGCACTTCCAAATAGGTGCAGTGAGCCAGATTTCGGCTCAAAAATAACGCTCATGAGTCAGATTTCGGATATATCCAATATTTTGAAAACTGCAGGGGGGTTTGGCCAATATATGACCCACCGCCGTTTTCAGTAATTGGCATATTTTCGGTATAAAAAGTCGTAATTTGAAACTGAAAATAGGTGCAAAGAGTCAGAAATCGGCTCAAAAGTCAAGCTCAGGAGTCAAATTTCTGACATTTCAGATATTTTGAAAACTGCAGGGAGGTTTGGGCAAAATGTGACCCATCGCCGTTTTCAGTAATTGGCATATTTTCGGTATAAAAAGTCGTAATTTGTAACTGAAAATTGGTTCAGATAGTTAGAAATCGGCTCAAAAATCACGCTCAGGAATCAAATTTCTGACATTTCAGATATTTTGACAGCTGCAGGAGGGTTTGGGCAAATTGTGACCCATTCCCGTTTTCAGTAATTGGCATATTTTCGGTATAAAAAGTCATAATTTGAAACTGAAAATAGGTGCCGAGAGTCAGAAATCGGTTCAAAAATCCCGCACAGTAGTCAAATTTCCGACTTTTTAGATATTTTGAAAACTGCAGGGGGGTTTGGGCAAAATGAAACCCATCGCCGTTTTCAGTAATTGGCATAGTTTCGGTATAAAAAGTCGTAATATGAAACTGAAAATAGATGCAGAGAGTCAGAAATCGGCTCAAAAATCACGCTCAGGAGTCAAATTTCTGACATTTCAGATATTTTGAAAACTGCATGGGGGTTTGGGCAAAATATGACCCATCGCCGTTTTCAGTAATTGGCATATTTTCGTTATAAAAGTTCGTTATTTGAAACTGAAAATAGGTGCAGAGAGTCCGGATTCGGCTCAAAAATCACGCTCAGGAGTCAAATTTCTGACATATCAGATATTTTGAAAACTGCTGGGGGGTTTGGGCAAAATATGACCCATCGCCGTTTTCAGTAATTGGGGTATTTTCGTTATAAAAGTTCGTTATTTGAAACTGAAAATAGGTGCAGAGAGTCCGGATTCGGCTCAAAAATCACGCTCAGGAGTCAAATTTCTGACATTTCAGATATTTTGAAAATTGCAGGGGGGGGGGCAAAATATAACCCATCGCCGTTTTCAGTAATTGGGGTATTTTCGGTATAAAAAGTCGTAATTTGAAACTGAAAATATGTGCAGAGTCAGAAATAGGCTAAAAAATCACGCTCAGGAGTCAAATTTCCGACATTTCAGATATTTTGAAAACTGCAGGGGGGTTTGGGCAAAATGAGACCCATCGCCGTTTTCAGTAATTGGCATATTTTCGGTATAAAAAGTCGTAATTTGAACTGAAAATAAGTGCAGAGAGGAAGAATTCGGCTCAAAAAACACGCTCAGGAGTCAAATTTCCGACATTTCAGATATTTTGAAAATTGCCGGGGGGGGGGGGGGGGGCAAAATATGACCCATCGCAGTTTTCACTAAATGGCTAAACGTTATATTTTCGGTATAAAAAATCGTAATTTGAAACTGAAAATAGATGCAGAGAGTCAGAAATCGGCTCAAAAATCACGCTCAGGAGTCAAATTTCTGACATTTCAGATATTTTGACAATTGCAGGGGGTTTGGGCAAAATATGGCCCATCGCCGTTTTCAGTAATTGGCATATTTTCTGTATAAAAAGTAGTAAGTTGAAAATGAAAATAGGTGCAGAGAGTCAGAATTCGGCTCAAAAATCACGCTCAGGAGTCAAATTTCCGACATTTCAGATATTTTGACAACTGCTGGGGGATTTGGGCTAAATATAACCCATCGCCGTTTTCAGTAATTGGCATATTTTCGGTTTAACAAGTCGTAATTTCAAACTGATTGGGCGCATTTCCTATGACCTAATGCAGCTGTTCACCTAATAGTAAGTAGGTGCTCAGGAGTTAATCAGCTTGTTGTGGGTTGTATCCTGTGTGGGGTCAGTAATATAAATTTTTTTTTGTTGGTGGGGGGGGGGGAGGATATGGGGTCCCCATTAAAGTCTAACGTGTATGAATACACACTGCCTTCCTGTCCCCAACAAAATTAAGTACTTTTATTATTGTAATTATTGTATTATATTATTATATATATTATTCATTTCATATTATTATATTACATTATTATATGTTATTAATTTTATATTTTTATATTATATTATTATTATATACATTTTCTTTTGTTTAATAAACCTTGAAACCGCCTACCTGCCGAGGCGTTAAATACAAGACATTACTTCACTTCAGAATCCCACTGGAAAAACCCTCAGAAGCAATAATAAGCCGACGGCTTCCTGTCACCGTTGAGGTTACCAGATATATATTTTCGAGAGTTCTTACATTCTTGTACAGCTACCGCATAGCGTTTCGGGCAGGTACTTAATCCTAATATTCCCCGGAATACGACCCGCCATGCCCATCCTGTGGGTGGTAGTGGACCCCATGCCCATCCTGTGGGTGGTAGTGGACCCCATGCCCATCCTGTGGGTGGTAGTGGACCCCATCCTGTGGGTGGTAGTGGACCCCATGCCCATCCTGTGGGTGGTAGTGGACCCCATGCCCATCCTGTGGGTGGTAGTGGACCCCATGCCCATCCTGTGGGTGGTAGTGGACCCCATGCCCATCCTGTGGGTGGTAGTGGACCCAATACCCATCCTGTGGGTGGTAGTGGACCCCATACCCATCCTGTGGGTGGTAGTGGACCCCATGCCCATCCTGTGGGTGGTAATGGACCCAATACCCATCCTGTGGGTGGTAGTGGACCCCATACCCATCCTGTGGGTGGTAATGGATCCCATACCCATCCTGTGGGTAGTAGTGGATCCCATACCCATCCTGTGGGTAGTAGTGGATCCCGTACCCATCCTGTGGGTGGTAGTGGACCCCATACCCATCCTGTG